TCAAAATATTCAATTTAAATCACTACTGAATAAAATTTATTAGCACATATAAATTTCGCATTTGTATAACATTATAACACGTGTTAAGAATGAATAAAAAAAAAGAATAAAAAATAGAAACTAGCAAACATGTGGATAAATATTATAAATATGAAAACAGTGATCAGAGGCGACGAGCGTCCCAACATGTGCGACTAAGAGATCCTATTACTATTTTGTTGGAAGCTTTTTTTCGAGACTTACGAGTAATGTGCGGTTTAGCGGCCGACTTCATGTTACTTTTCTGTTACAGTGTTGCGCGCGCATCTTAAAATTTCACTCTCGTCGTTTTTTCATAACGCGCCCGCGGCTAGGGGAGTATGGGGAGAACGGAAATAACAGCTCATCCGACCCAAATGTCAACCCCTCCTGCACGCGCCGTATGGCGGCGGCAAGCAAAAGGCTGCCGTGGTGCTCCCTGCTGGATAACAGACGGGGCTCTGGCGACCGAGTCAGTGGCGGTATAACCACTACCCTGGCCGGGCAACCGGTCAGAGGAGGCTTAGCAAGCCTTGAGGACTAAATGCCCTCAAAAAATAGCAGTGCAGAAAGACATGGGGTGCTACTGCACATATAGATGCCCTAAGAACACCACCTCGAACTTATCCTCAAACAACATGAATAGCACAACCAACGAAAATATTTTGCCCAGTAATCCGGCTAGCGCCCGGCGTCGGGAGAGTACCGGGTCTCCCGATGTTAAATGTGTAACCGGAGAAGAACATGCGATAACTGAAGCCATGCCATTGTCAAGAAAAAGGAAAAATGAACAACTATTGATTGCCACTTGGAATGTACGAAGCCTAATTAGGCAGGAAAACTGGAAAACACCGTTCAAGAAATGAAACGGCTGAAAGTTAGTATTCTAGGACTGAGTGAGATCAAATGGTCTGACAATGGTAGAGTAGATAAGGAAGACGTTACTTTATACTATTCTGGCAAGCCAACAGCTGAGAAAAACCACCATTACGGGGTTGGTATTATGATAAAGAAGGAGTTTGCCAAGTTTATGACCAGTTTTGTTCCATACTCAGACAGATGTATGTTGTTGCAGTTTAATGCTAAACCCTTCAACTTAAGTATTATACAGGTCTATGCGCCTACAGCGCAAAGTACAGATGAGGAATTAGAGTCTTTTACCAAGAACTAGAAGATTTAATAGAAAGCATCAATTCTCAAGACATGGTTATTATAATGGGAGATATGAATGCTAAAATCGGAAAAGGAGCAGTTGATAAGATAGTGGGAAGCTATGGTTTGGGCGATAGAAACGAACGGGGTGACAAAATGCTACAATTCTGCGTAGAAAAAGATCTGATACTAACTAATACCTGGTATCAACACCCACCAAGACGTCTCTACACGTGGACATCCCCACAACACACAGCGGACCATATTGTGAGAAATCAAATTGACTATGTAATGATAAATTCACGTTTTAGAAACGCAATAGTAAATGTTAAAACGTATCCTGGTGCGGATATTGGTTCAGACCATAACCCCGTAGTTGCAAAATTAAATTTAAAACTAAAAATTCTGAGGAAACCAAACACTCACAAGAAAATTGATATTGAAAAACTTAAAAATGTAGATGTAAAAATTGAAACCACAAAAGCTTTAAACAATGAAATTCGTAACATCCCAAGTGAAAAGCCTGTAGATAACATTGAAAGTAATTGGAATACAATTAAAGAAGCAATTTTAACTACAACAGAAAAGTATTTAGGTTTGAAGAAGAAAGACAAAAAGTTAGAATGGATTACAGATGAAATTCTGGACCTTATGGAACAGAGAAGGCAGTTCAAAGAAATAGATAAAGACAAATACAAAGAAATAGATAATGTGATTCGGAATAAAATAAGAATAACTAGAGATAAATGCCTAAATGAAGACTGTGAAGAAATTGAAAAACTTCAGGAGAAAAGAGACAGCTTCAATTTACACAAGAAAATTAAAGAATTTACAAAGACACATAGGAAACAGATAACTGGCAAGTTAACAACTTCACATAACAAACTTGTAATTGATAGTGAACAACAATGTAAAACTTGGGAACTGTACATAGAGGAACTATTTGAAGATGGGGGAGCAAATTTGGATACAAACTTATTAACAACAGGAAGCAAAATGGAGGGACCACCTATACTCCAAACAGAAATCGAAAAAGCAATAAGATCTATGAAAGAGGGGAAAGCTGTTGGCCCTGATGGGATATATGTAGAAATGTTAAAACTTTTAGATAGTGACAACTTAAAATTACTTGTTGTAACGTACAATAGTATTTACGATGTGGGTACACTACCAGAAGACTGGCTCAAATCTACTTTCCTTCCGCTCCCTAAGAAAGCAAACGCTAAGACATGCGGAGACCACAGACTGATAAGCCTGATGAGTCACGCCCTAAAAGTATTTCTTAAAGTTATACATATGAGAATTTATAACAAAATTGATAAAATCATTACAGAAAGCCAATTTGGGTTCAGAAATGGATTAGGAACACGTGAAGCACTAGTTGCATTGCAAACTCTAGTACAGAACAGTTTAGAATTCAACAATGACGTATATGCATGCTTCATTGATTTTGAAAAAGCATTTGATAACGTCAAGCATGACAAATTAATGGAAATATTGAACAATACTGAAGTCGATAGCAAAGATCAAAGAATAATTAGAAACCTATACTGGAACCAGTCGGCACACATCAAAGTAGGAACATCAAGTACAGATGAAATAAGGATTCGTAAAGGAGTGAGACAAGGATGTATCTTGTCACCATTGCTGTTCAATATTTACTCTGAAACTATATTTCAAGAAGCTTTCGACGAATGTGAAATTGGCATCAGGGTCAACGGTACAGTAATAAATAATCTCCGATATGCCGATGATACTGTTATCTTAGCTCATACTTTAAAAGATCTCCAACAACTCATGAACCGCTTAAATACTGTAGTGGAAAAGTATGGTCTAAAAATGAACATATCCAAGACCAAGTACATGATAATGAGTAAGAATTCAGTGGGTTCGACTACGTTGTCTCTTAACGGAAACCAAATTGATAGGGTCAAACATTACAAATACCTAGGAAGCACTCTTAATGAAAAATGGGATTCCCAGAGGGAGATTCGTGCGCGGATAGAGATAGCAAGAAGTACATTCATGAAAATGAACAAGTTATTTACCAACAAGGACATCAACCTGAAACTCAGATGGAGAATGGTAAAATGCTATGTGTTGTCTGTAATCATGTACGGCGTCGAAAGCTGGACCATGAACAAAACCATAGAGGCAAAAATAAACGCTTTTGAGATGTGGCTCTACAGAAGAATGCTCAAAATATCGTGGAGAGACCGTGTAACTAATATAGAACTTTTGCATAGAATGAAGAAAAAATTGGAACTTTTGGAAACAGTTAAGAAAAGAAAGATCTCATATTTTGGACACATTTATCGAAATAATAAATATCAATTTTTGCGAAGAATACTAGAGGGGAAGATAGAGGGACAAAGAAGTAGAGGACGGAGAAAGTTAACCTGGTTGGACAATATAAAGAACTGGACAAATATTGAGGACGCTGCCAGCCTGGGCAGGATGACTCAGGATAGGGACAAGTTCAGAGGAATGGTCGCCGACGCCCGATGAGGACAGGGCACTACAAGAAGAAGAGAAGCCCGCGGCTAACTTCATTATGTTACTTTTGTGTTACAGTAATGCGCGCGCATCTTAAAATTTCACTCTCATAATTTTTTCATAACGCGGCTAAAGAAGTTTATCTTCAAGAAACAATTAAGAAAAAATTCATTAAAATCGAAGCTGTTCCACCGGGGTTCCAGGCAAAAAGCTTCATTGACTCGACTATTTGTAATCATTTTGAAATCTAGAAAGTAAGTAAGTGGTTGCAACAGTACCTTCGAGCATACTCTAAGATTAAGAACGGCATCAAAGCTGGGCAGTTTCTTCACTCACTAGTATAATTTTAATATCAATATGAAAATATTGAGTGAGTGAAAGAGTTTAAATTGCACGTTGAATTGTTTTGTTGCAGAACTCTTTGGTGATTATTTTTTCAAATCGATTACAATATCAACTGAGATAACTATAATCGATAAGGGTGTACTATTTAGGGGTGTCCACTCTGAAAAAACATAGATGTATTTTTTGATTCGGTACATCTCAACTATACATCGATGTCATTCGATGTATTGGATGAAAACATCGATGTATTTTAAACATCGAATACTTTTTCTGTTTTATTACAAAACTCAACTTATGTGTAAAGTGACCCATCTCAAAAGAGGCCATCTTTTCATAGTAAAAAAAAAATACTATTGAAGTTTATGAAAAGACCTTAATCCATAATTTTATTATAGTTTATATATTAATCTTTCATAAAATAAAAGAATTAACTCCTTTCATAATGAGTAGGTAAAAGTAAATACAAGTAAAAGCCATGTGTCAGAAAAATATGTATTATATTTTTTTACAAAAGATCAAATTAAAAAAACACTAAATAACCCGCAAAATTTTTGCTAAGTCTGTCAAAAGAATATTAGAAATATACTTCAATCTTAGTTTCGTTCACAAAACTGAAGAAAGAAAGAAAGAAAAAGTATTTAAAATCTAAAGGTTAAATGTTCATAAACACAGAAACTCGAAGTTATTTTTTATTGTCACTGCACTGACTCTTGCGCAGTGCTGCCAACATCGGGTCCATATCAGAGAATTCGGAATAATGATGCTTTCATAATAGTAATAAGTAAAATTTTAGTTGTCAAACTTAAGTTTTTTTACTGAGGTCAAATCAAAGAGGATATTATCAATTCGATGTTTCTTTAAAACATCGATGCATCGAGTATATTGAAAGCTTTTCAAAACATCGGATCGATTCGATGTTTTTCATTGCAAACATCGATGTTTTCGATGCATCGATGTATATCGAATATCCTTAGTACTATTTATTGATTACGCTACGCACATCACTTCTCATGTCTAGCTCTGTATCATTTGGATTTTGGGAGGGTTTTTGGCGGGATTTCATCGAGTGCGGTTGGCGTCTTATTTTAATTATTCTTAAATTCGTTCATAGTGGATATTGTGAAATAAAATTGGTGTGGTTTTGTGTAACAACTGTCTGTGTAACTGAAGAATTAGTGGAATCGTTAAAATATACGCTATTCCGGTCAAGTGGACGTGAGAATTTTATTGTAGTGTTGAGTACCTCACAGAAGCTTATCGAAAAAGCCAACTCGATACATTTCGTGCCAAACACTCCAAGAAACATTAGAATGCGTCACACCGACATTCTAATGTAAAAAGTAAAAACAAAAAGAAGATTAATTTAATTAAAGACCAGGCTGTATGGGCATTGTTCCCTTTGCCTTTCCTAAAACGGGAGAACTTCAACAAAAAAAAAATTGGATTTTGGTGTGCGTAAAATTGTGAAAAAGAAAGAGGAATTTATTAGTTACTCAGGATACTCAGGAAACAATCAATTAAATAAAGACGGTACCGAATTGTTTAGTGTTGAAGACGAAAAGAACAGTGTCGTACCAATTAAATGAATGAACACTGTTCGAGTTACAGAACGTAGAATATTCTACTATAAAGCACACAACAGATTAACTACTTTTAATAAAGAGCAGGTACGTAGAGGGATCCTGTAGCTTAGATTTCGAGGAAGTATGTAGTGATTGTTCTATTTTATCAGTAAAAGTAATGTTAAGGTTACAGTTGAACCACCACCCAATGTTCATTACCTACTTTTTCAATCCAGAATGGCGTGTATTGAGAAGATACCACCTCTTACCATCGATTCAGAAATGGAAGAGGGTGAAATCGTTGATGATTTAGATGATCTATCTGATATATCTTCTGAGGAAGAATTTTTACTGAGACAGAGATTAGAGGTTTTAGAAAACTATAACAATGTGCTTGAAAGAAAGAAGGCGAAGACGTCGATGAGTGAATCTGGTAAGCAACTAATTCTTTTTTCATTTGAATGAAAGAATTATTGAATCGCATAAATTTTGTGATTTAATTGACCTTCCTTATATTGTTTTTCAAATTTAGAAAAAAAAAATATTTAGAACTTTTTCATTAAAATGAAGTTAACCAATCAATATTGTGGGATAATACTTGAATTAAGCTACCTGTTAATAAATAACAGGTAGCTTAATTCAAGTATAACAAAGTGTTGAAATATAATACTACTGGTTCAAGATGCTCCTATTCTGTGGGGTCTTTAAAAACTACAATTAATTATATAACTCTTTATTTTACACCACAAAAAATATAAAACATTGTACATAATTGCTGGATACAGTGTAAAAATTGGCAGTATTATCACTAAGAGACAGCAACTAATCCAGACAACCTTGAGCAGGAGCAAACAATATGTACTATTAAAAAGTTCCTATTGGTCTGGTTCTTTGTGTAGCTCAAAGCTGCTAAAAGATTAACTCATGCCAGTTGCTTTATTTCCATGTCGAGCTTTAGGGAAAATTAAAACAAGAAATAAAAATGATAAAGGATGTTTTATAGATTAAAAAAACCGGCCAAGTGCGAGTCGGACTCGCGCACCGAGGGTTCCGTACAAACCTGCAAGGTTTACAAAGTTCGTTCATTACGACAATCGAGTCATAACTATGGTATTTTTATTGCAAAATGAAATTCATAACATTACAATGGGGAAAGATGGAGGAGCATAAATTTAAGACAAAGATCTCTTTATCGTTTAAGTAATATGGTTGTACTTTTGCGTTTTGCGTTTTTGCGTTGACTTAGAATTTTTTTTTTTCACGGGTTAAAGGCAATTAGATCTAAGTATTTGATATGAATTTCAACTTGATAGCTCTACGCGTTCATGAGGAAAAAAGTAATAAGTTTATATTTATTAAAAAATATATATTTTGTAATGTAACTAAAAATTTAAGGTTTTCGGAATTTTTCCTTTATGTGTGCTATAAAACGTTGCTTCATGCCAAATTTCAAGATTCTAGGTCGACTGGAAGTACCCTTTAGGTTTTGATTCCCTTGCGAGTACTTGCGAGTTTCAAAATATGCAGCTTAAATTGCTGTTTCTTTTGATTGCGTTGACATAAAAGTTTGATTTTGTTACAGCTTAAAGGTATTATAGACCTGAGTATTTGGTATGAATTTCAATTTAATACCTCTACGCGTTTATGAGGAAATGGGTAGTAAGGTTAAAATTATTAAAAAAAAATATATTATGTGATGTAACTAAAAATTTATGGTTTTCGTAATTTTTTCTTTATCTATGCTATAAGACGTTGCTTGGTACCAAATTTCAAGATTCTGAGTTCACGGGAAGCACCCTGTAGGTTTTGATTCCCTTGCAAGTGTCGAAAATTTGCGGCATAAACGGCTGTATCTTTTGATTGCGTTGGCTTAGAAGTTTGATTTTTTCACAGCTTCAAGGGACAGTAGACCTGAGTAATTGATATAAATTTCAGCTTCATACCTCCACGCGTTCCTGAGAAAAAGGGTCTTGACAGACGGACGGACGGACAGACGGACAACAAAGTGATCCTATAAGGGTTCCGTTTTTCCTTTTGAGGTACGGAACCCTAAAAACTATCCCTTAAACTTCTAACTCTAAACCAAATTTTATCTAAATTTGTTCAGCGGCTTAGGCATAAGAGGTAACAGACAGCATGGAACTCTATACCACATTTGATCTAAATTTGTTCAGCGGCTTAGGCATGAGAGGTAACAGACAGAAAGACAGGCAGACATACTTTCGCATTTATAATATCAGTGTGGATTAGTACAGATAAAGTACATTTAAAAGTAAAAGTGCAGTATAACCTTAATATAACATGCCTCAATATAATGAATTTGCCAATTAAAGAATTATTCAAAATCTTCTGAAACCTAAGTAGAGTAACAATGAGAGAGAATCCAAAATATACCTTTACATTATGAATATATATTTGGGTGATTCTCCGTTTTTTTTTGTAAATCAGTAATTTTGAGTCCATTGAATTTTAATTATTTCTTTTCTATCGGTAATAACATGAACCCTGATAACTTAGTTACAGTATGCAACCATTAAATTCATTTATATTGGCACTTTTTATAAAAAATATTAATTGCAAACTGTGTCCTCCGAGTTTCGTGTCTCGCCCCCTGGCCTTAGGTTTAGTTTGATAATCGTATTTGTTACCCATAGTCTTTGGTAGTTTTGACCTTGAAGACACCAAGTGTCACGTGAAGTTAGCAGCAAGCGCTGCACAAGCCATCCCCGTGGCAATTTTTTTGGCCATTTGCGCAACGGTGCTCGATGACTGCAGGCGTGTTGAGTGATCGAAGTATTTACCCTGGTATTTTCTTTTCGTATTTATGTGTTTAAATACTACAATATCTATATACATTTATTTTAAATAGTGCTGCAAACCTTTTATTTATTTCTAAACTTTATAAAATTAGTAGTTTTACGGCAATTTTAGATTTTTAATGAAAATGTCTCTCTGCCATATTTCCATACAACCGATTACCTGAGAATCTTAACTGAGAATCTTAACTGAGAATCACCCATTTATCAAAAATCTTCACTAAACAAATTATTTATCATTGCAGAATATATATAAATAATACTTATTGATCTCTATTTAATGATTTGTCAATCCTATCCATTGTGTTAACTTTTTTCAATTAAAAAAATATTGTCTTTTCATTAATGTGTGTTCTCATTTATTAGTGAAAATCTTTCGATTTAGCAGGGTAAGCAGATGACTATCTACATAATGTTGAGGCCAATGAACAAGTTATTTCACCTTGTTGAAATAAATTATAGTCCAATCTAACCTCTGTACAACAAAGCTCTGTGTAACAAATTATGCGGTATAATGAATATTGTTGAATTCCCTTGATTTTCGTTATATTGAACTGTATATTTATTAATATACACCCTGGCAAACTTCTGGAGCATTGACCATAGAGAAGGAGTCTGCACAAGATTGTTTGCCTGTGGTTTTGCTCAAAACTTTGCCATTACATATACCTATCATTTTTAATTGCTCATGTTTCTGTTTCTTTAAATCCATGTTATGTAATTGATTTAAAATAATAGAATGGGTTTTTAGGTCGGGGGATAAATGAAGATGCATTATCACATGATCTCTCTGATATTTCTGATAGAGAGGATTACTTGCAAGTTCCAATTGAAAATAAAAATTATAAACATCAATATACCAACATCCATCGTAAACAAAAAAGAAGAAAAGAAACAATACAATTAAATTCTGCAAAAAATAAAGAACCCAAGAAAAAGTTACATCGCACCAAGAAAAAAACTGTGCCTAAAGTTATTGTAAGTGAAACAAGCGAGGAATCTGAGGATGAATACCGAAATAAAAGACGAAAATTAGCCAACGCTGTCTCTTATTCTAAACAGAAAAATGATACATCATCCTTGAAAGCTAGATTAGAAAAAATGTTAGGTGGTAACCAAAATTTTGAAGAGATAAAGGAAGAAATTAAAGAGAAAATAAAAAATGGCATCGTAAAATCATTAGAATGGCCTCTGAATTCCTCTGGTAATTCAACTAATAATGAGATTTCCAGTGAAAGCAAGATAGTTTTAGAAACTGAAGTTAGTAACTTAATTGAATTGGCTGAAGATGATGTAAAAATTGTAAATGATATAACTGGAGAAGATTGCGTTGATTCTGCATTTGCCAAGAAAAAAGATGTAGAAGGAAAAAAGGATGCCAATACAGATTCAGATGAAGACTTGGAATTATTAAGACAGCATGCTCTCAAAACTAAAGTATCTAAGCCAAAAATGGAAAAACCTGTTTTAGATGTAAAAGCAGTTGAAACTAAACCTCAAAATCCTTCAGATGATGAAGATAGCGATACCGCCGAACTTAGGATGATTTGTCTAAAATCAGCTTTGTTAAAAAAGGCTATCGAAGCAAAACAAAAGCAAAAGCTTAAAAAAAGATTGTCACAATCTTTTCAAGATGAATTCCAGCTTGCAGATAATAAAATATCAAATGAGGTTGAGGCTGAAAACAATACTGATATAGAATCAGTTGATATGGATATAGGTTCTGATGGTGATGACAAATTTAAAGAATATTCCAATAATTATGGTATCATTGAAGAAGTAAAAGGAGATATTGGTTCTATAAAGGAAAATTCTTTGAGTGTCATTCCAATGACTAAACAATCCATGGAAGATGAATTAGACGAAGATGAAGATTTGTTGCGTGCAAAATTGTTAACTTCCCTTAGCAAAAATTTACCAAACCTAATACATCCTAATATTATAAATACTTTAAATGAAGTGCAAAATTCTGAAAAATCTGCGTTGGAAGTTAAAACTAATAAAAAGAAAACTACACCAGAAGAAAAACCTTTTATTATTAAGTTAGGTGAATCAGATTCAGAAGGTGAACATGAAGCAACGAAAAACTTAACTAAAATGCATATAAAACTCTCTGAACAAATAGATTTTCAACAAAAATTAGATTTGTTTCTCAAGTCGACTCGAATGGAAGTGGAGAAGAAAACACTACCAGATGTTATTCAAAAACCACTTGAACAACCCAAGACTGCTCCAAAGTTTGTAGCAAAGGTCAGAAATTATATATTGACGAGATGTATCAATTTATACGCTCTTGTATCAATTTATTGTTTTGTTTTTAGGCTGTAAAACATTTACCTAAATCTGAACAAATTGAATACAAAAATTTGGTGAAGAGGATGGCAGAGTTAGAAAAAATAAAACAAGCAAGACAAATATCCATGAGTTTAAGTAAATTGCCTGTTCAAGCTAAAGATACTTTAAAACCGCGTAATGTTACCATTGACACTATTAAAAGTAACACAACAGAAAACTTAGAAGAACAAATTGCTATATCAAGGTATACTTACAAATATTCTAAATACATACACATTCACGAGCATCTTGCATGTGGTGTTAATTAATAATAGGTAATTAACATTAAATTCCTTTGAAAAACTATTACAGAAAAATAATTGCTGAAGAGTCTTCAAAAATGCTTAAACTCAAAGAGGAAGCTACAAATCTATCTCAAAAATATAAAATCGTTGAAACTGAGTTACGTAATATTTCGACTGCTATTACTTTTAATAAAAGGCAGCAAAAAACAATACAGAATAAGTTATCAAACATTAGACTACGACATCAAATGCTTTTGAAAAGGTATTTATGTTCTATTAATGAATTACTCAAATGCCAGTCAGTATACTAATATCACATATACTACAATTTATTTACTTCTGGATTCTTTTTTGAAATTTATTTTTCAGGTCATCATCTCTTAAACATTCCAAAATCAACATGCCACTTGCAAATCGGAATAATAGTAAAAGTTTGCAACTTACAAAATTACAAAAGGAAAACAATCCATCAAAAGAAGATTACAAGAACCCTCAAATTTTAAAGGCTGTTAAAGTTAGTGTTAATAATGATTTAAAAGAAGATAATGTGGCAAATGCAATATTGTCTGTCCACATTGATATCAGTAGCAACAAAAAGATAGTAAAATTGCCAAAGAGTGCTATGAAAGAGAGAGTAGTTGATCTTAATGTAGAAAATTCAAGTACAACAATCACACATGAAAATATAGATACTGTTAATTCTGAAGCGAGAAAAAGCAGAGTAATAGATACTGAAGATACAATAAACGCCAATGATAGCGCCATTGTGAAAATTAAGGAAATTGATGATTACAAATCGCCTTTAGACGCGTTACATGGAGGAACGTAAGTTTTTGTTTGACATAATAATTAACTACTTATTTGTAAATTAGATGCTGGTTTTAACTTTATGCTTCAGTTGATTCAAAATTTTCAATACTTGACCCTTAATATGATCAAGGGGCAATAAGGAAGTTGTTTATTTCTATTTTATAAAACAATTTTTGTACTAGGTATAATATTAGAAGAAAATGTGCATGCTTATTTAAAGAAAACCATCGATCGAAATGAATTTGTGGATGGACAATGTGTACACACATCGTACAATGATGCGATGTAAGTATGCATCCATTCTGTCCACGCTGGCATTTGGCATACATAATATCTTTAGAATGCATGTTTTTCAGCTGGGTGGAGGATCCCAATAGTTTTCTCTGCCCTTTCGAAGTCGGCGGCACCTGCAAGGATCCTGATTGCAAATACATACACCCAAAACTCCCATCCGCTCAATGACATTTATATTCACACAAAAAACACACTACCATGCCCAACATTATTATCAATGCATACATTCACTCGAACATGTCACACGAATACCATCTACCCATCCTTCTCTTTTCTTGGACCAGTTGTGGAGTTCAACAATAAGATGTAATGTATAATGACACGAAAGTTTTTTTTGTTAATTCCTATATGCACTTGATTTTGTATTCATAGATAAAGTTTTAACCTTGTTGTTACATAATTTCTTAAAATGTTCTTACTATTTTTTATCATGAATGACGTACTTATATGTTTTCACGTCGGCCATAGAATATGAATGTGATATTAGATAAAATTTAAATTATTTTATCATGTTTTCTTGCATGGCTCCTAAGCACTGCCTATTTTATTGTTACAATTTTTTATTTTACAATGTGATATAACTTTAACTTAGTATTTTTAGTTGGTTCTCATTTTATAAAAGTACGTGCATAGCTTTAAATTATTGATATAGAATTTATTATCGTCATATCATTGCGGTGCCACAGAACTGGAGTAACAAAAGTTTAATATCGTATAAATATGCAATTTTAGTTGGCGATCCGATGGCTGGACTTCACAGCGATGGCTTTGGTAAGTTGCGAGTAATTTTATTGTGTGAGTATGTAGTGCTCCCGTTGACTTTGTGGAAATCACGCGTTCCTGTCCTGACTCCGGCACTCTATGGTAACAATTGTATAAAATTAATTATATGGCAATCTTGAAATTTTATTATTGTACACTGTGTAAAAAGTTTTAAAATAAACGGTTAAGTTATTGTAATCCTTGGTTTCATTTTGTAACCATTCAACATTATTCGTATTCCTAATGATAAAGAAATGAAACACCATGTAATTTTTGAAATAGACATTTTATTAAGACATTGTAAAGAAAATACAAAGTAAAATACTTTCCTCCACACTGATACATACACTTAGATAAAAATATGTACGTATATTTTCTGAATAAAATTCGATATAATTTTATTGATAAAAACCCTTAAACAGAAGGGTGGTGAATCACACGATGTAATTACTATAGATAAGGTACACATTATGATAGATTAGAATAACTGTGGGCACGGACAAGTTGGCAATTACAATAGTTTTAAGATTTACAAAATAACAACTATTAACTAATTACTGATCATAAAATAAGTAATTACTGCCCTTTTGTTGTTAAAACCTTATGACAGCAAACCACGGAAAAAGTTACTTTTTCCGCAACAAAGATTTCGCTAAGAAATTTCTAGTACTTACATAATTCTCTTTTCGAAATTAATATTGCATAGGTGTATAAAATTTTATAGATTCATAAGATTTGGTTGGTGTTTCACAAGCTCAATCATCACACACGATATTTTTTGTAAATTGTGTCCTAAAATTTTGGAAACATTTTCACCGACGATAAACATTTACACATTTCTAATGACACTAACAGGTATATATAATGTATAGAGTTATTTTTGATAGAAAATTTGTATATAAATAGGCCTCAAAGTTCTTATTATTGTTTATAGGAAGTTGGTTTAAGCGTAAAGGGAGTATGCCCACAGTTAACACTGGACAGTATACAGGAGGGTAAGATACAGATAGCTATTGTAAAATCACCTTTATCATCATAGTACTTACTTAATATTATTTACTCACTTCTCTTCATAAGTTTACACATCTGCCTTAAAGTCTCTACAGAAATGGCTTAAACAATTAAGTAGTCTTATACATTATAGACAATGTTACATTGAATTATTGGAATTTAGTGATTGTTAAAATTTACTGCATTATTGTTGTGTGCAAATCGAATGTCATTTTGTGCAGTAGTGTTATATTAAAAATCGCCACTGTTATCAGGCAGTTTTAAACTTCTCACTAATGGAAATGCCCTCGCGGGATATCAATTAGTTTCAGCTACGAGACATCATATGACTTTGATAAGCATTCAATAATTTCATTTTAATAAAAGTCTTTTAGTGCGACCTTAAGAGGTTTAATTCCTTTAAAAAAATCAAGTCTGTGGGTTTGATAGATAAACCCAGGGGCGTATTTACCTTAGGGCCAAGAGGGCTTTTTTTGTCTGGGAAATGCCTTGCGCATCCTTCAACCACCGGAGGAACGAGAAGAAGGTATGTGGGACTTCTCCCTACTCATTACAACCAGCCCTTGGGCCGGGTGAAATGAGTAGGGCCCTACCTAACACCCGGAACAGGGCCACTGAAAACCAGACAATACTCCTGCACCGGTCACTCGGCGTACATTCTGAGGACCGCAGTCCCCCCAATGCACGCCGGGAGTGCGGGTGTGGTCGCGGCAACCGTTGCCGACTGTCCGCTCACCCGCAAGGGCCAAGAGGGCCATGGACCGAGGCAGAAGTCTGAAGGGCGGCTGCAAGAGTTGCGGGGTGGCAAAAGTCATATAAAGGCTTTAATATTATAATGCTCCCTGGATAGACCCTAACAAAAATACATATTACTAACATTTTGGCTCTCTGTTCTGATTTACAATTCTGATTTCCCACACCGCACTTAGTGATCAAAGTGGTCAACTATAATCATACTTAAAAGTTAGTTGAAGTCTCTTAGTGCGGCTGATAGAGTCCAAACACAAAAAGTACCTAATTGCGATGGAAATTAGCTGTGTAGAAAACTGACGATCGCAGCAATGATACAATTTCACAAAATGTGTATAATCTTGCGATGCGTCGTTCCAGCTCGCTAATTTATCTACGATGCGATGTCGCATCGCAGTTTTTATGTTTGGACCCTAAGATTTGAGCCGTATAAACAACAGGTTTTTAACCTTAGACCTTTTCTAGGTTGCACCCTTCGATCCTATAGATAATGGGTTGCATACAAAACCTAAGCGAAAAACTGTCCGCGTATGTTTAGACTTATGCAGCTGCATTCGATTCCCAAAGAACAAGGAAAATATCTCTAACAAACCGCGGGTAACACCGCGAGGCACAGCTAGTAAATGATATCCGATACCTGGAAAAAAATCATCAATCATCAACAGTCTATCCTAGGCCACTGCTGGACATAGGCCTCTCCAGGAAAAATCAACCTTATGTTATGACCCACAAAATAAAATATGTTTACCAGTCATTGCCAGCGAGTTACTTCGTGTTGTATTATCAGAACTAATTTAAAATAAGATCTCACGCCTCGCCTCAAGTGAGGCTCTATTTACCGAGACGGATTTTACGTGCTGACCCGTTATCTATAAAATTTGTTGATCGAAGGTTGCACTACATAAAGTAGGCATGTGACAAATAAAATATATATTCTGTCATAAACCAAGAAATGTGAGACATTTTATAACACCAGTTGCGTTCGATCGTTCACATTAGAATGTGTAAGTCTTGTAAGTATAAAAAATGTGTTATCTTATTCATAAAGCTAGTTGGTGTATTAGGATTTAATTAAACACTGTAACGATTGTTCGGTGATGTAGCAACGATGGCGACGGCGACACCTGCACACACTGGCGGCTCTCAGCGCCGAGCTAATTTCGTTTGCTCTTAATGTGTGATGGGCGTAAATCATGTGTAGTAGAGGGGGCGTCTACCTGCGGCGTGGTCATGTGGTGTGTGCCATGTGGCGCTAGGCTGATGTAGAGTGTGAACATTGTGTTGATGGCTGGGTGCCGTGAGTCCCTGTAGCGGTGTGAGCGCGGTATCGTGACTGGCGGCAGGCGTGGTGTAGTAGAGGGAACGGAGTACCTGAGCGTGGGCCACATGTCGCCTTGCTGATGTATAGAGTGTGAACATTGTATTCAAGGTTGAGTGCCGTGAGGCCCTGCAGTGGTGGGGCGCGGTATAGTGACTGGCGGCAGGCGTGGTGCAGTAGAGGGGCGTCTACCTGAGCGTGTGCCACGTGGCGCCGGCCTGATGTATGCTGATGTAAAGAGTGTGAAGATTATGTTGATGGCTGAGTGCCGTGAGTCCCTGCAACGGTGGGGGCGCGGTATCGTGACTGGCGGCAGGCGTGGTGCAGTAAAAGGCGGTCTGCCTGAGCGTGTGCTTCCTGAGCGTGTGCCACGTAGTGCTGGGCTGATGTATAGAGTGTGAACATTGTATTGATGGCTGAGTGCCGTGAGTCCCTGCAGCGGCGCGGGCGCGGTATCGTGACTGGCGGCAGGCGTGGTACAGTAGAGGGGCGTCTACCTGAGCGTGTGCCACATAGCGACGGCCTTGCGCGTCTCGTGCGCGACCTGTGCCCAGTGGCGGCCCTCGGCGCCAGGTTCAGCGGCTCCAACGCAGCACCAACCGACTACTAGTCCGCCGCCGCCCGTAACCACGCATACCTGCGTTATTATTTAAATAAATCCTAATTCCATACTAATATTATAAATGCGAAAGTGTGTCTATCTGTGTGTTACCTTTTTACGCTTCAACCACTGAAAAGATTTAGAAGATAATTTGGTACCGAGATAGTTCGAGTCCTTGGGACGGACAAAGGATAGTTTTTGTCCCAGAAATCATTCTTTAAGTGGGTGAATAGTGTGTTTAGATAACCAATATTTCCGCGCAGATGAAGTCGCAGGCATCCACAAGTATCTATAAATATGTCACAACTGGATTCGGTTACGAGGCTAAGTGTCAAGTTTTAGAATTGCTTTATATTTTTATAGAGCAGAACAGCTTGTGGGTGCGTTGCCTGTCTATCAGGGTGCTACGACCACACAGCACTCTTGGCACACATTCTGAGGACCAGTCCCCAAAGTTTGTGTCGCGCTGTCGGGTGGCCGATGCAGGAGAATTGTCTGTGGGTTTATTGCGTAGAAAGTGTTCTCATATATTATTAACGAATAAGTGGACGGGAAAATAAAAGACAGCCTTGCAAATAGAAATAAAATACGAACAATTACAAGAACAACACGAATGACAAGCATGAAGCAAAAACCAAATTGAAAGAGACTAGTAATAAAAAGGATGACAAAAAGAATATAATTAAAATAACTATGATTAACCAGCCAGTCGCCAACATATATCATCGTTGCAACTCTCGGTGGCAAAGAGGGTGTTACGCCTAAGTGTTTACGTAAAACCAATGTTTTGGCTACAACTAACTCTAACTAACCTCAATGGAAGCCTCTTGGAGATTTGCGGACGGCAGACTAAAAGAGAGCGCCTCATTCCACACCGGGTTATGTATCTCTTTCCTATTGGTCTTCTTCTTTTTCACTCGCTTTCCGTTCACTAGTAGATACACCTTTACATATACATCTGAAAACAACAAAACAAATAGATAGCACATAAAATTATTTTATAACTTGTTTTTTTTAATGTCAACCCTGTTTAACAAGTTTTAGATTTTATTATGAGTCTAGTGGATGCCCGCGACTTCGTCTCCATAGAAGTATTGGTTTCCCATACAAACTCTAAACCCCCGTTTTATCCCTTTAGGGGATGTTGTGATGATGTTATGTGAGTTTATGAAAGTCTTTTCTTAGCGCATGCCTGCACCATATGAGCTCTGTTTGCCAAATTTCAGGGCAATCCTTTCAGTGGTTTGAGCTGTGCGTTGATAGATCATTCAGTATAACGGTTGCCTTTAATAATATTACTTATAACGAAAAAGATTTGATTGTTTGTTTGTATTGAATAGGCTCCGAAACTACTGGACCGATTCGAAAATTCTTTCACATTTACAATCCTTCATTATCTGTGATAAACATAGGTAGCCTGTAGTTTGTAGCTATTTAAAAAAAGTTAGGGTTCCGTATGGAAACTTTGATAATATAACCCGACGTGTGTAAAAAATACCAAAAAATTATCTTATGTTGTGTACGCTGCGGAAGACATTGACAATAGAGAAAAGTGATGTACTGTTGAAGTTTTGTAGAGGTCATAAATATCTCCAAAAAAGTCCTTGATACCATATGTCTAAGTATCAAAGTTATGTCACAACTAGAGGTCCCCGTGGTGCGTTTAATTTGAATAAAAAAGGATATAATTAGTCAAACTTTAAATTTAAAGGGGAACAATTCCGTTCTACATGATTTTTGTGTGACTTTAACCGTTTACCCAGCACACGCAACGGAATCTCACAAATGGAATATTTTTACCCGTTTTTGCAACGTTTTGCATCGATGCTCCGCTGCTCCTGGTCGTAGCTTGATATTAAATACCCTATAGGCTCAGAATACAGCCTATAGGCCTCTTCGATAAATGCACTGCAAATACAAATCGGAACTGCAGAGCAATGGTGTGTTCCGACAACGAGTCCTAAATTACGCAACACATTTTTACTTCGAATGGAAGGTTTATAATTATTATGAAGAAAGTCATTGTGTATAATACAAACCTTTGAACAAAAACTATAGTTTACACTACAGTTCTACACCGAATCGAAGCGAGGGCGGGCCACTGTATTATATATATATATATATATATATATATATATATTGAGAGGAATACAATAGTACTCACAATTTTTTTAAGTGACCATCGTCGCGATAACAGCTTATGTGAAAACAAAAATCCCGTGGAGTGGAAGACTACCCAAGGACAATCTTACTCGCTATAAAAACACAGTACTACAAAACTATGATGGCTATACATCTCTTCTCTCTTTATCAACTTTACGGAAGAATGGGACAGTAACAGATTTCCGCTTACGATGGGATTATGCTACAAAAGCACAAGTAATCTAGCTTCGTTTTCCTTCATCACACAGACCTACAGAGAGTAGGTATGTCAGAGACAGGTAGCTTCATGCAGAGCCGGATTTAGTTGTGTGGGGGCCCTGGGGCAATAAAGGGGTAGAAGCCTCTTAATGTAACCTGGTATAGGGTGCAAAATTTTTAAAATACGACCCCATTCTGGGTTCTTGACCCCATGATAGGTGACCCGTCAAATAATATTTTTAACCGACAAGCGTAGCACTCACCTAAAGCATCCTTTCACTCTTGAGGCGGATGTAAATTCCTTGCCTTGAGTATCACCACAATTAGTCGCTCAGCGGAGGGCAAATAAGAAAGAGACAACAACAGCCACCTTCACACGACGTTCGAACAGTACCTGTAAAAGCAGAACTGCAGAACTCACCTAAAGCATCCTTTCCCTCTTGAGGCGGGAGTAAGTTCCTCGCCTTGAGCACCACCACAGTAAGTCGCTCAGCGGAGGGCAGGTAAGACAGAGACAGCAACAGTTCTTGCAGCTCCTCTGGCGGGCGTCGCTCGCGAGACACCTCCGCCCACACTTCTGCACCGCCCGCAACTTCTACCCGAGACAAGGGGACTTTGGCGGAACCCATCACCTCGTTGCGGGAAAATCTGTAAGCAGTGTTTAGCAGAAGCTGTTGATGTCGAATAGATACAATGACAAAGGATATAAAATGTACATATTATTTCCTTAAGGGATGGATCAATCTAGAAAATACTTGAGTTGTACAACATTATAGAATGGTCAGGCGATGATCATGTGTTGCATCTGCATGGGGCATATTTAGATCAGAAGCTATAGAAGAGTCTTTCTCTGAGGATTGGCAGGTGTATTTTTCGAGGTTAATAAGAATTCCATAAATATACTCGTAGCTCTTACTTTTGAAGATGGCTTATCAAATGAGCCTTTCTTGATGATTGATGCCAGTGCCAGTCACTCACAAGGAGTTGATAATGTAGCTAATTGTTGCAATGCGATAGTGAAACTTGGCGTGGATATATATGACTTCAGTTCCCTCACCTATCGTAGTCGAATACTTGTAGCAGCAGCGTCTTGTCGCCCAAGTCGTCGTGCGAGACGGGAAACTTGAAGTGCTGGTCGAAGAAGGGATTAGCTTCGTTCCGATGCACGGGCGTTTGTCGCACACGAGTGTCCACCTCGGGTAAAAGGCTCACGCGCACGTATGGGTCGTTGAACCCACCCGCCTCATAGCCGGCCAGATCGTGCGCTGTAAATAACCAGCACATACATTAAGGAATCAACTTATTTTCTACGTGAAACCCAGCGGATTTCACCACGATACCTGACGCGCTAGGCAAAAGACTATCTTTCTTTTCCAGCAAACGCTAACGCTAAGAGGATTTTCTTTAGGCAGATCGGTTATCCTCTACATCTTTATAATTAATTTTGGGGTTGATACAAATCTGCTCTGGATTAAACCAAATTCGTCCTCACAGAGGACCAGGGTTTAGTCCAGATAAAATTAAAGTTTTGGAAAAGAAATAAAAAGTAATAATATCTCATTAATTCTTTCATACAATATTCCACCATAAAACCCTTTTGGCGTTAGTAATTGACCTATTGTCAATTACTGACGCCAAAAGGGTTTTATGGTTACTACGTTTGTGTTCCTACTTAAGTGGGTGAGGACGTCTGATAAACGGGTTGGGGCAATCAATGTTATCTCAATGAGAAAAATAAGCTCCGCAGTTTGCTCTATCGCGTCTGGCACGCTAGACAAGTGTCAATTTTATGCTATCTGCTTAACTGGTCTGCTCAGCTCTGCTCAACAAAATCTGCATCATCTCCTTCTCAGGGGATGATCGCATCAGACGAACCCTGTAACGCTCTTAATGACACAGGCATCCCCCACGGGTGTGATTTATTCAGTAAGAGTCTGAGATAATCCTGCCGCCGGTTGTAGGGTATCCATGAGGATTTCACATCCAGCTGGAAGGAAACAAAAAAGCAACAAAAAAGCTCTAACAAAAATAGCTAGAGGTTTTGGAGCCATCTGCCTATGTTAAGATAAATTACTTGAATCATCTATATAAAGAATACCTTCTATAAGGTGCACTTCCAAATCGGACCGATCGAAGTCGTATTTCAGGCGTAGGTGGATGCGCCCCAGGGATGGCCCTGGTCCCTCTAGCTCGATGACAAGGGGCGCCTCGCGCTTCGTATAAAGGTCCGGCTGGAGGGCCCCCAGGGCGCTGATGGCCGCCGTCGCACCCGGACTCAGGGGCCCCAGGCCGCTGCTGCTCTCGACTAGCGAGTTGCTCCGGTCTATCCGTCTGGAATGTATAATTACAATACAACATATGTAGTATTAAGACCTAGACATCTTCGAGCAGCAGCGAGATTTCTAGGTATGTTGTTTTTTAGACATTTTTTTTCAATATCCTTAACATACTGGCCGCCCGCGACTTCGTCCGCGTTAACTTTAGTTTTATGAAAATCTCTTAGAAATCTTATACTTTTCCGGGCTAAAAAGTATCCTATCTATGTCTTTTTTCAGGTCATAAGTTGTCTGTGTGTAAAATTTTATCCCATACCGTTCAGCCATTTTTGCGTATAAACATACAAACACATAAACTTACTTACTTTCACAAATATTATATTATAAATTAAGATGAACTGCCAGGGCCGCATTCAGGTGAAAAACGCACGAGCTATTAACTGTATAGGTCGTATAGCGGTTCGCTGCAGGGCAAGCGGACTATTAGGCCCAGTGGCCCCCACGTTACCTACCTTTTCTCGCAGCGTTTCTTCGTTTTTTGCACCCTTGTAGGATGGTTGACCCAATAGTTGAACACGCTCGGGTTGTTAACCACTTGCGGCTTTGGGTGTTAATATTAAGCTTTCCCGCGATGAAGCGTCTCATTTCATGTTGGCTAGATCTTGTTGGTACTAATACAAATCAACCAATCACATTACGACTAGAAAGAGACAACAATTGAAAGCTACAATTTCATTTTGTTTTGACTTGTCGCTGACAGTTGCCATTCAGCCGCCATTGTAGTTAGAAAGGTAAGAACATTTTAAATTTATTTTGTATTGTTTTTTAATGAACTTGTTCGGATGATTGTTTTTGTAATCATTTTGGCAGTTTATTTTAAAGATTTTCAATGAATTTCAAATGCAAACGATATATTTCATGAGTTATTTTACTGGTTAACAAAAGGTACATGATTTGATTAGGTGCTCGTATGGTTGACCAATTGGTCAACGATTAGTGCACTTAATGGTACTCTTTTTTTTAATTTTTTTAACAGTTTCATGTCCAGAATATGTGTTGTAACTCAACTATCAATTTTAAAGGAGTAAATTGCTTACGTTTCCATTAGTTGACCAGTGGTTTGACATTGGTACTGCATACAAATCCTATGATTGACCAAACTCTCTTAATATGAGTTTTGTTTTCTTGTTTAAGATACAAAGAAATTAAAATTAATAATAATGCTTGCAACTTGTCAGATCCTCAATCAACAGCAAATATACATAATGAACGGGACTTTAATTCTGAAAAAGAATGCACAACACCTGCATTTCTCGAAGACACTATTACGCCTAACTTACCGATTGACCGTACTGATTTCATGGAAACATCTCCCGCTTTGCTACAACTCGACTCTCCAGAATCTGAGCAAACAGATCAGTAAATATTACAAACTGTCTCGTCAGTAAGTCCATCTTTAATTAACGTATTTGAAAATGAGATTGTAGCGCCAGATCCTTCAGAAAACCAAGAAAAGACACCTACTAAATCTTCTTCTTCTTTTTCTTAGTAAAATATTTGAAAGAATTATTCTGGAACAATTGATGCCTCATTTCAACCTTAATAAACTTTTGCATAGGAAACAATTTGGTTTTACTAGAGGTAGATCTACTACTGATGCGGGTGTTGCACTTGTAAGGAGTTTATTGCCTTGGGAGAGGTCGCAGAATGTCCTTGGAGTGTTCTACGACTTATCCAAAGCTTTTGATTGCGTTGATCATCACACGCTGTCATTGAAATTGAGTCATTATGAAGTCAAAGGTACTGAATATAAATTGATACAGTTGTACCTCAGTTCCAGAATACAAACTGTAGAGGTAAATGGTGTTAGATCATCTGGATCTCATGTGGAAATGTGCGTTCCCCAGGGTTCAATTTTAGGTCACTTCCTGTTTCTAGTATATATAAATGATTTGCCATTTTTTGTGGAAAATTTGTGTGAGATTGTATTATTTGCTGATGACACATCTTTATTATTTAACTTTGACAGGAGCAAAAACAACTATGACGATGTGAATAATGCTCTTTCGCAAGTTCTGCAATGGTTTAATGTCAATAATCTAAAGCTAAATGCTAATAAAACCAAGTGTATTCAATTTTCCTTACCTAATGTAAAAGTTGAGCATATTGCAATTAAATTAAATAATGAAAAATTAGATTTAGTAGACTCGACTACATTCTTGGGTATAACGATAGACTCAAAACTGCAATGGAGTCATCACATTACGCTTTTGGCTGGTAAACTTAGTTCAGCAGCTTATGCCATAAGAAAGATAAGACAACTTACTGATATAGATACTGCCAGGACTGTATATTTTAGTTACTTTCCTAGTATCTTATCATACGGCATATTACTCTAGGGAACAGCAGCTGATATTGAAAGTATATTCATTTTACAAAAAAGAGCTGTGAGATCTATTTATCAATTGAGTAGCCGAACATCTCTTAGAAAAAAATGTAAGAAATTGGCATTTTGACTGTTGCTTTTCAATTCATTTACAATTGCATACTCCTAGTTAAAAATAATATCAATTTGTATACCAAACACAGTAACGTGCACAATTTTAACACAAGGAATAGAAACAAGCTTGCATTGCCACCCTACAGGTTACAGAAGGTTTATCGATCTTTTATGGGTCAAGGTATACATTTTTACAATAAAATTCCTACCCATAAATGAGTTCAAATGTCACATTAAAAGTTGTTTACTTAAGAAAGGCTATTATACTATTAAATAATACTTGAATGACAAAACTGCATGGCTGTAACTGCAAAATTGTTTTGTATTTGTTTGCAGTGTCATACAGATAAATTACCTTAACTCTAAGTAACTATTTTGCATTTTGGTTTGAGTGGTTATGAGTAGTCATGCTCTCTGTGTCGTGTGAGGCGGGTCGTTGCGTTCCCTAAAATATGGTTGAGCGAAGCGATGGCTGGTTCATGCGTCATGCTCGTGAACGGGTGCTGCCAGCGGAGATGAGTCTGCTCTATACTATTTTATTATTGTAATGATAATTATTATTAAATTTAGATTGTATTTTACATTACACAACTTGTATTTATACTGTATGACACAGCAATCAAAATTTAAGTGAACATTTATTATTTCTCCCTTGCTGAGTTTCTTGCCGGTTCTTCTCAGTACAAGGTCTCCCGCCGTAGATTTGCGAACCGATGGCGTTGCTTTTCGACATTCACAAGTGCTTGTAACAGCCTAGACTGAATAAACGATATAGAATTTTGAATTTTTCAAAGTCTAGAAACCCTATAAGAGAAACTACCAAACATACAATTAGCCCTGCTTTTGCGTCTTCTTTAGTTCCGCCTACAGAATAACCACTGAAAAAAGGTAACTAATAAAAGGTTGAGTAGAAAGCGATTGCCAGATGCAGTTACATCAGTAGAGTGGATGGAATACTGGAATGAAAGAGTAAGGAACAAGAAGAAAAGAAAATAGGAAATTAGCAAGAGAATAAAAAAAGAAGTTACAAGAGTTGAAAAAAGTTGAGAAACCTAAAGCAAAACGAGTAAAAAAGAGAGTTCAGAATAGAATTGATTCTGATTCCGATGAGGATAATTTCCTTTGATCAATTTAATTACAATAATAAAGATAGATCAGACGAGGAAATAGGATCATATGTTATAGTAAACTACGAGGGAGAATATTTTACCGGGATTGTCAAAAATATTGACCAAAAGAGTAAAGAAGTTAGTACGATGGTGATATCAACTTCTAATACTTTTAAATGGCCAGATAAAGAAGATAAAATTTGGTATGCTAATGACAGCATAGTGGAGAAAATAAATGCACCTGTATCAATTAATAATAGAGGTTCATATAAAGAGTACCAGAAATGGCCAAGTATCTTTTTTAATCTGATTCCTTTTATCTGCAGTTTTTACTTTTGAATCATTACGTGTAATTGTTAAAATAAAATTTAAGTTTGATATTAACAAAGAATTACTTAACCAAAACTTTAGGTTGTTTAAAAAGTTCAAAGTTTAAGTGTAGTTATGATTCGTTATTTTATGGTGATTTGAAAATGTGCCATTTAGATTTAAGATTTACTATTGTGATTGTTGAGACTGACCTTAATTTAATTTACTTATTGATCTCAATTAGTTCTAAGAACAAACCATAAAGTTGATTATAAAATACGTATGCTTTTAATTGTGAATATAGTTTTTAATTCAGTTTTTTATAAATGGTCAACCTCTGGTACAAATCTTGACAACAACTGGGGCCTGCTAGTCAAATTAGGGTACATCCCAGTTTTATGCCGATTATTTTGAATAATAAAATAAACAAAAAGAAATCAAATATTTTCCTTCCCAATTACAACTTATAACTAGGTAACTTACAATATAAAAAATAAACTAGCAATAAATATCGCTATTAGGCTATATAGCAACATTTTAAAGTTAATAATTTCCTTTAATTGGTTTGAGACCGGGACATCCATCCTAATTTGGGTTAGCATTATACCAGATAAACAAAATTATCCCTACTGAAAGTAGTTACATAGCTCTTATAATTTACATTTTATTGATATCTAAAAAAACCTGATTTCGTTACTGACCCACTGATGATTTTCAAAATTCTTAGGGTATTACCTAATGTACTAGAAATCTGAAATTTGGTTTGTAAGTACATAAACACAAAAAATATATAAACACAATACCCCTAAAACAAGGAGATGGAAGTTTGTATGAGATTTCCGAAATATTGACGCTAGAGGTCTAAAATATGATATAGGGACACCTTGTTATTTTAGATAAATAACAAATAGAATAATGAAATAAAAAAAATAAAAAAAGTATACAAAGTAAAGAAAAAAAAACTAGTTAGTTGAGTAGGTACTACTTACGAGTATCTTACTTAGTTTATAAGTGCCTGCTGTTACTGTAACTATGTAGTTTAAAGGGTATTTTTGAAAGAAGTTCTTTATTTCAACGTTTTAAGTTTTTGTTATGACGACCTCCGTGGCCGAGTGGAATGTACGCCGGGTTATAAGGAGTCGCCTACTCGTTAGATCCCGGGTTCGAATCCCAGTGGCGCAAATGTTAGTATGATGAATACGAGCATATACTTATATATGTTTTCTATCGGTTACCCTAGTATTTCATAACATAAGCCTTTCAGTGCTTACTTTGGGGCTAGGCTAATTGGTGTGAGTGTTACAAATATTTATTTATTTATGTTAGATATTTCGAGAAGTCTCGAAGTTTTAAAAAGTTTCGTCATAATCAGTAGTAATAAAAGCGTAAATCAAAAGCATAATAAAGATTCTGCAATAACAAATTAATAACACAAAAAACAGGTTTTCAATTAAGATGTACGCGAAAAAGTTTAAACACCTATAAGAGTAATGGCTTAGAATACAATAAGTTTTAAATATATTCGAGTGCTTCTGTCGGTTTTAAAAGCTTTTAGCTGACGTTTCTAATTATAGACTTGGCATTACACAGAACACATTGCCACAAAATAATAGGTACGCGTCTATTCGCTTTCATGGTACAAGGGAAGCGAAGGCTCGACTCTGAGGCGAGAAAATTGAGTTTAGGTATTTCAATTTACGCCAGCCCGGGTTGCGTCGTGATTGGTGCTCACACGGGTGCCTTATATCCGATAAGATATCCATCATTTGGGGTATAAATATACTTTAGTAATCCTTCTACATTTACTAATTAATATCTAAGATATGGTATAGGTAAAGACCTGAAACATAGAATTCAAATTTTCGGCTTAGGATACGATAATTGGCCATTTTTTACAAGCGCTTTTATAGTTATAGGGATGTCGAAAGTTGAAAAAAATATCGATATATCGATACATCGATATTTAAAAAAATATCAATATCGGCTTCGATATATCGCGAAAAAAACATCGATATATCGATATATCGGACTAATTTTCCCAAAGATATATTTAGGTCAGCCTAGCACAGTAATAATAACAATACAAATTATAATTAAAGAAAGAATTATCAAAGTACCAAATTGCCGCTACACTAAATGGCAGTACAGTATCTCACGAAAGATGATACGAGGAATAATAATTGAACGAAATTTATCTCCCTAAAAATAGACCCTATTTTCGAATGATGAAAATGATTGCAGGGCCTCTCAGGTGCCATCTTTAGTAAACAACACTAGTCACACACTTCCACAGAATATAATGGAATTCAGCACAACCAATTCACCAGCGAAACAGATTTACAAATCATAGACAATACTAAATACAGCACAGATCATAGATATGTTGAATATCATTAATCTGAGATCCAGTTACGATTTTTCCAGATACGAATTTAGTTAGATCGTGATATGCCGCTAATAATTAAAAAATATCGTTTTTGATACGAATTTCGATATTGGTTATTTTGTATCGATGTATCGATATATCGAATCAAAATATAACGGCTAAAAATATCGATACATCGTACAAAAAATATCGATATATCGATACATCGATATATTTTCAACAAGCCTATATAGTTAAATGAATTAGCTTTTTGCTTGCGGCAAGGCCTTCAGTTAAATGAAATCAGTAGACTGAAAGTAGATTATGGTTATGTTCGTACTTCTGAAAATGATTGATATGACTTTTATGCAAAAACAAATGCTAATATGCAACTACGAAATTAACATCAGTTTAGCTTCATGCATTACATGCAAAGCAAAATTTTATGTAAAGTTTATTGCTCGTCATAAGCACTTACTGCAAAGTTTGATGTTTCAGAAATCTATCCCACATAAACTGACTCTCCAGCAAAATTATACACTACATTTTCGTACCAGTGCTTAAAACTTGCGAAAAGTAATTTTCGAAGTGATGTTCTATTTCCATCGTTTTCAACCAAAGTTTAAAAATGTATGCCCGAATACGAATATACAACTAAGTACGTAGTTTACAATCAATAAAGTGTTTTTCTTGTAATGTAAAATAGAAGTGAGATTTTTTTAACGACATTATTGCGTGTTGTATAATAATATTCATTCGCTCTATGTCAAAACGTTCACGGCTATTATTTTTTTCTGTGATTAAGTGTGTATATCTTAAAAATAAAGGTGCTTGTTTTATTAGCAATGAAGAAATTTACGGTTTGAGACGAAATAATTAAAAACAATCGAGAAACTAAAGCGTTCTTCACAAAAGCAATTTCTGAGCTAAACATGAGTTGCTTATTAAAGATTACGCCTTATAGAAGGTACTTATTACCTACACATTTCTATCGATTGACTGAAGAATTGACAAGTTGTGCGTATTAATTGAATTTAATTGCCGTTTTTGACCGCGTCGAGTCTTCTAGGAATTAGATTATGTAAACTGTTATTCTCTATGTATTTTTAGGTCTAAAGGCTTAGGTATGCACTCACAATATATGTATACATCCATCTCATCTGCCTGCAGGTTTAGACATCAGCGTCTCTGTTCTAAAAATTTATTTCATGACTGGCTTTTGCCCGCGACTTTGTCCGTGTAGACTTATTAATTCAGGGAGCACATTTTTACCAAATCTGCATTTTCATCAATCTGCTTACTATTTAAAAAATAGAAAGTTTGCGGTCTTATATTTGAAACATAAATAACGTGTCAAATATGGGGTACTTTTCAATTTAAAAATCATGTGTAATCATGAAATACGAGTTATAAACACTGTTTCTCAGTGAGCAGGACTACGTTTCGGTGCAAAGCTTTAACTTGCAACCTAGTACCGTTACAAAGTTGGGATATCTTTAAATTTCTTCATAACATAATAGGTGGGTTCAATGTGTTTAGGAACTATACCGGATAATAAACGGCATCGTTAGTGTTTACCACCGTATCAGGTTGGGTTTAGAAATAAGCTTCCTCGTACTGGGAAAACTGACGCCGTGGGGGGGCTCAGGGGGCTTTACTAAAATTCCTGGCATCGATTTTAGTTGCCGGAGAGGTACCTACGTATTTTTTTTTCATTTTTGAGTGAAACGAAACGAATGTAGTGAGAAATAAAAGTAAAAATGAGGCTGTATGGGCATTGTTCCCTATGCCTTCCCTGGAAAGGGAGAACTAAAAAAAAAGTAAAGGGATACGCAAAAGTAATCAACATGAGATGTGTTCATTCCGTTGCTTCCGAGTTTCCGTGAATGTTCTGTGCTTCCTTTTGAGTGATTTCGACCCTTTTTACTGACCCCCCGGACTGATTGTTGGCCTTAGGGCTAAACTGTACTTCCAGGGCCCAAGTGGTGATACTTCACACAAGGTTAGGTTAGTTTAGTGTTGTGACCATAACGCGCGAGCGTGCCGCGGCAGCGGCCGGCGAAGCACCAATTTTTTTTTAAAACCGACCTTTTTTGTCAAAAAAATAGCTTTTGTGGGGTTTGTGCACTCTCCACTACCGTTTTTCCCATTCCCAAGCCTTAACCTAACAAGTCATCTCTCTTTTACTTTTTATGCATATTTTATTTTGAGGTAATGTCTACAATTTTTTTTCCTAAAAAAACTACGAATCACCGGCACCGGCCGGGGTTGATAGGAGCCCCCCCCCCCCCTCCGCAACCGCCGTTGGACAACAGATTGTTTATATTATAGTAATATATGTTATTAATCGGGATTGTTACCATATACCTTGTTTTTAGCGAGTTTTCGATATTTCGGCATTGTTGCAAGCGCCATGATCAAGGAGTAACTGAAGTAATTGCGGGTAGGCTGTTATTGGCAGACATATCGGTCTATCCTTCGACGAAGTCTTTTATTGCGTTCGATACCCGTACCACTGTTCACATTCTCACTATTATTCGAAACTGTTCCCGACACACAACACTTACAGTATCGGATTGCGACACGACACTTTTTTCATTTTTCCGGTTTTTACAAATACGAACCACAGGATTCCAGACAAAAAAACAGGATGCCGAAATATCGGAAACTCGCTAAAAACAAGGTATATGGTAACAATCCCGTTAATAACATATACTTGGTCGCACTTTGGGGTGAGTATAGCTCTTTCGCATAACCACTATTGATTTTTTCGAATTAAGCGCAACGTCTGGATAAATTTTTGAAATCAGGTTTTTAACTGTTGCTACTGAGGTACATAGATCGGAAGGGACAGATATCATGCCATCTTTTTCCGAGTAACTACCGTTTTACCCCGTTTAAGCAATAGATCTGAAAATTTGCTAGCGGAAACATCACCTCCAAGGTAGACTTTCATATTTTTCGTTAATTTTAAAGTTTTAACAGAGAAACACAATGACGACCTTTTAAGATACGCTTTTATCTCATCGGCACATGTTCCTCTTGGAGCTACTAGTAGAGTTTGACGAAAGTATCCTGCCCGCAATACAGTCAAACCAGCCATCAAACTTTTGTTGCTGCGTATATCTTGCAGTCCTATTCAAAGCTTCTACCTTTTTAGGGGCCATAGTACTTTCATCCCAGACAATAATTTTAGTTTTTACCAATACTTCTGCACACGCTGCAAGCCATACGTTCTCCCTTACCTAGGTGGCATCAGCAGCGGGGAGAAGAGTCGTGGAAGTGTCTCCGGCTGGACGAGGCCGATGAGTCCGCCAAGGAGGTTAGGGGAACGTGGGCGAGCGGCGCGGAGAGTACTTGATGCATACACTCTATAAAACATACGTTCTCCTTTACCTCGGTGGCATCAGCAGCGGGGAGAGGCATCGTGGTGGCAAGTGTCTTGGGCTGGGCGGGGCTGGTGAGTCCGCTAATGACGCAAGGGAGCCGTGGGCGAGCGGTGCGGCGCGCACGTCCAGGGAGGCCGCGCGGAGAGGCGACGGCGACCTGGGGCCAGCCCCGCCCGCTTCTAGCGTACGACCGTCTGGTGCGAAGGTGCGTATAGCGGGCGACGAACCTCGGTGGCTCTGAAATGTAAAAAATATATTCATGCTTATGTAGTTCCACGCTATCATCATTCTATTAACGTCCCCACTGCTGGGGCACTGGCCTTCCAAATAGATGTAATAGGGAGATTGGGCCATGTGCTTATTTGTAGTTGCTAACGACTGCAGATGCAGCCGGGATGTGCCTTCCCAAGCAAGGAAAAGTTCGAGATAGTAATCCATGACCAGCGATTGCGAAAGCTGTTTGACTTCCACAATCGCACATCGAACACGCTTACACTTGCGCCATTGAGTTCCACGCCACATGGGTTATATAGCTCAATACCGTCAAAAATATGCTGCATTGATGTATATTTTAGCTACAAGACACGGAGACAAATAAATGCATTCCTCTTAAAGTGAAGTATGAATGTAGCCCAATAGCGAAGCTGAATCCAAGTCCAAAGTTCTATCACCTCCCCCTAATGTCAACTGTGAGTTCAATTGTCCAGACCCCTTGCCCACAATCCTGAGCCCAATGCCCCTGTACTGTGGAATTCTGTCAATGTTATTTAGGTACTATAGGAATGCAACACTGCAGAATATATTTGCTTTGAATCTTCTTTCATGTAGAGGTTACATCCACAGATGCGTCCTCTTTTTCGAGCGGGAAATATACTGTGGTCTATAAATATATCTCCAATAGCGGGACCTCAACGATTTGAGTTTGCACGAAAACGCAACCAAAGTTTGAGAACATTAAATATATTTAAAAGTTACTTTAAGGTTTTTCATTTTACGTTCACAGTAGATATTTCAATTTAGCAATGCAAATATATGCAAAGTTTTTTTTTTAGAAATAAATCTACGTGGACCAAGCAGCAGACGGGACTCAAACCCGCACCCTTCGCTATCCGGGCGAATGCACTGACCATTATGCTAACGCGGTCCTCATGGCCGTATCGAATTTACTCTAGCCTTTCTAAAGCTGCAAGGCAGCGCCATTTTTTCGCATTGTATACCTACATTGGGTTAGGTTACCACCCACAATCACAAATTAAATGAATTCCTTTATAACTATAAAGCATTTAAAAGGAGAAATAGTAATTATAGTTGTATTTTTTATATTTATGCATTAAATTTGCTAGATGTTTAAATATAAAGTTTTTTTCCGTCCCATCTACTGCCTGTTCCGCGTGGGTTTTTTTTATAGTTAAATTTTCTTTAGATTTAAATATCTAACAGTTACATGCTTATAAATAAAATATATAACAAATATAAATACCTAGTCAGGTCATAAATTCTGTCACATGTTTAATATAAAATAATTGAAACAAGTTTATTCATTATGTAACCATTTATATACCAAAATGAACTTAACAAAACATGGATTCTTATGACGATAAAGTTTATTCAATATGACCTCCGTGATTTTGAATACAGGCCTTCAATCTGCGCGGCCAGTCGTCTATCGCAGCACGAACGAGGTCCATGTCAATATCGGCGGCTGCCTTAATCAAGGATGTCTTGAGTGACTCCAAATTGGGATGAGGCTTAAAGCACGCCTTTTCCTCCAAGTGTTGCCATATCTTGTAATCTAACGGACTCAAATCTGGACTGGAGGAGGGCCAGTCTTCGTGCCGGATGAAGTCGATTTCAATGTCGATTTTCAGTCTTGTGTGCACTTCGCTCTATGAGCTGGCGCCGAATCTTATTGAAATACCCAGTACCTGTTATTGAACATGGTATGAAAAACAGGTTCCACAAGGTTCGTCAGGACTGTTTTGATATACAACTGCATTCTGTTAAGCCCCAATAAGAAACTCCAAACCATACAATGAGCGAGGATGGAAAATGACCTCGTTGGACACGCGGAATACGGTTGCTCGCTTCTTCACTACTGTGTGCGTACACCTTCATTTTGTTTGTTGTAGCTCACTTCTGTGGTAAAAATTTTTCATCCGAAAAAAGAATTTCCCGATATTTTTTCCCGCGTACCGCTTCACAGTATGTTATGAGACCGTAAAATCGGACATTCTTATTTATCCTTTTTTAAAAATGAAAAAACAATCTTACTCTGTAACTTATAACATTTTGTTTAGAAACGTTACAGTACTTCATAGAACTCTTTAAACTACACGTAATAAGCGTTTTAAGTGCTTCGTAAACGCTTGCAGTTAATTAGAAAAAAATATTTTTGTTATTTTTGTTTTTATTTTTTTCTTCATTACACCATAATATATGCAAACTTTTTCAATCGCAAGATATAGTCTGATATGTATTCTAGTGGTATAAAAAAAAACAACTTGAAATTCCGTGGTATATTTGAGAAAAAAAATTAAACCTGTTCACAAAATTTTTACGCGTCTAGGGTTGACACCTTTAGAAGGGATAAATTAATGTCTAAAAAGTTACAAATAAAAATACTAATTGAATCCCACCTGTTATATTCGTAGTATTTAAAGGTCTAAAAATTGATATTCGGCGCCTGCAGTTGTTTTTAAATTTTTATTTTATATTAATGTAAATTTATTTTGAGTCGATAAAAATGTTATTTTCACATGATAGGACTGTTGTATCATCACTTGGGTCTTCGACCTGATCTTCGATACATTGTTCTGTAATATCGAACTAATATCGATGAATAGATTAAGCTTTGAGATCCAATAAAATTAGCTCAAAAAGAGGGTCAAATCTCGGGAAGGAAGATAATAAGCTGATATTTTTTATAAATCTATGTTTTGACGTTTTAAAGGTTACCTCATAAATCTCATAATCTTATAAGATCTAGTTTCTGCGTCTTAAGTTATTTAAGTTCGAACGGGAAAAGATAGGAATAGGGAGCGAGATATTTATAAGAACGGGTTTTTCATAAATATCTCACTTCCTATTCCAAGGTTAAAAGCTAATTTTACTGGGCTAAAGTATTTTCCACCGACATTCGACCTTTGTCATCTCTGGCATTGTCTATAATCGAACACAAGATTCAATCTTAATATGTGTGATTATAATAAAATATTTAAACATCCAAAAGAAATATTGCTTTTAAAAAGTTATAAGAAATTTACAATTCTATGTGACAGCCCTGGTATATATTTTCAGTTTGTTTTTTCTCAAATATACCACGAAATTTAATGCTGATTTTTTTTATACAACTAGAATAAATATCAGGCTATATCTTGCGATTAAAAAAGTTTGCATATATTATGGTATAATGGAGAAAAAAAATAAAAACAAATATAACAAAAAGATTTTTTTTTATTTAACTGCAAGCATTTACAAAACACTTTAAACGCTTATTACGTGTAGTTTTAAGAGTTCTATGAAGTATTATAACGGCTCTAAATTAAATGTTATTAGTTTACGAGTAAGAATGTTTTTCATTTTTTAAAAAGAAAAAAAATAACTAACTATTGAATTTTTGTATCTCGAAAAGTAAGTGGAATTTTCAAACGAGAGTTTTTCTATCATATTTGCATAAATGAGCTCTAAACGATTCATCAAATAAATGAGAATGTCCGATATTACGGTCTCATAACACACTGTGTTCAACAAAGCGCGGCATCTCTTCAGTCTCAGGTCCATTAGACGAGCATTCAAATGATGTCCTGTTTTTCTTCGATATTCCCGAAGCCCTAAGTCTTCATTTAACACCCTTTTCACCGTGGTTCTGCTTAACCCCATCTGAAGGGCCAACAGTTTCTGCTTACGTTTGGGATTTCTTTGAATTCGCGCCTTCACAGCTTTTATCGCTGCTGGAGTCCTAACAGACCAAGGGCGACCACTTCTTGACCTGTCATCTTCACTAGAGTCTTCGTTGTATCGTTTGATGGTACGATAAACGAATCTTTTCGTTATATTCAAAATTTTCAGTATGTCAAAAATATGAATTGGCGCGTAACCGCAACGATGCAACGCAATAACTGCAACACGGTCTTATTTAAGCGTCCACTCATATATAAAAATGAGTAAAATTCTAAAACGTATACATTTTTATTTTCATGAACAATTCGAAATTCGAATTCAATAAACTTTTTTGTGGCCAGCATTCTAAAAGAAAAGTTTTTACTGTGTGACAATACTTATGACCTGACTGTGTATATACATATTAGGGATGTCGAAAGTTGAAAAAAATATCGATATATCGATACATCGATATTTAAAAAAAATATCAATATCGGCTTCGATATATCGCGAAAAAAACATCGATATATCGATATATCGGACTAATTTTCCCAAAAATATATTTAAGTCAGCCTAGCACAGTAATAATAACAATACAAATTATAATTAAAGAAAGAATTATCAAAGTACCAAATTGCCGCTACACTATATGGCAGTACAGTATCTCACGAAAGATGATACGAGGAATAATAATTGAACGAAATTTATCTCCCTAAAAATAGACCCTATTTTCGAATGATGAAAATGATTGCAGGGCCTCTCAGGTGCCATCTTTAGTAAACAACACTAGTCACACACTTCCACAGAATATAATGGAATTCAGCACAACCAATTCACCAGCGAAACAGATTTACAAATCATAGACAATACTAAATACAGCACAGATCATAGATATGTTGAATATCATTAATCTGAGATCCAGTTACGATTTTTCCAGATACGAATTTAGTTAGATCGTGATATGCCGCTAATAATTAAAAAATATCGTTTTTGATACGAATTTCGATATTGGTTATTTTGTATCGATGTATCGATATATCGAATCAAAATATAACGGCTAAAAATATCGATACATCGTACAAAAAATATCGATATATCGATACATCGATATATTTTCAACAAGCCTAATACATATATTACCACCCGTGCTTTAAAACCACTTGTATAGATTCTGAAACAGTTAGCTTATTGCCAACATTAAAACATACAAAATGTCATAATTAAAAAAATCATAATACCACGTCACGTAGCCACGTTTTTTTTTATTCCTTTATAGCCTGCACGGTTTGTGCGTCAGCCACATACAAATGTAAAGGTAGGGAAACAGGATAAAAAAAAGGAACGGAATTTTTAGGAAA